CTCGCTCGCTCCTCCTCCACCTGCCTCCTGCTCTCCTCCTCTGCCGACCTGGCCATGTGCTCAAACCGGGACCGCAGGCTGCTGGTGCCACTGGAAGCTCCTGGGAGGAGAGAGCTGATCAAACCAGCCCCACGTCACCCTTCCAGCACCCCAGGCAGCCAGGAGAAACACAGACCTCTGCCTCTTCCAGAGGAACTTGCAGATCAGTCACCTTCTCCTGCCCCCAGCACAGGCTAAACCTACATCCCAGCACATCCCACACCTGCCAGCATGCTGCCATGGAGAGACAGGGAGGCCCTCAGCTTCCCAAGCCCAGGGCTGGTGCTCAGGTGTCTAACCTGCCTCCAGGGGTCTTGTTTTCTCATAGGAGGAGGTGGGAGCTGCCATCTCATCAAAGCCAGCAGCACTCTGTGAGAGGAAAAGAAAGAATTGTCCAGCTTGTTGGGCAAGGCCAGTGCTGGGTTTGGCAAGCTTTGTTCCCAGGTGTGTCTGTCCTCACCTATGGGATCTCTCCTTCACCTGGGAAATCTCTGCTCTTGCAGCAGGGTAAAGAGCAGTGATGAGCAGGAAGCAGTTGCAGTCTTACCTTATCCACTCTGTCCTTCTGGACCCCGTAACGGCCTCCAAACCCTTTGGCATAGTCTGTATGGACAAAATGAGGCTTTTTCATAATGTTCTGTATTCTGTGTACACCTCTGACTGCAGTATGCTGTGACCAGTGAAATGAGGTAGCTTTGTCTGCATTTTATCACCTAGCAAACTAACTAGAGGTAACACCTGCAAAATGCTCTGGACAGTGGCTTTTAGGACTAATCTTTCCGTCTTCCAGCCAAGGGCTCAGGTGTGCAGGGCTCTGGCTGGCAAACCAGCTTCCAAGGCACTGGGGTGAGATGCCTGTTGCCCCACCAGGGTGCAGTGTGGCCTTGCTCACTGAACTCAGACATGCAGTGGCCAAACCATTCCTGGGACCTGCTCTGCCTCATTCCCCTGTGCTCACCTCTGCAATGAGCTTATGGTCAGGAATGTCCCTCACAGAGAAAGCATAGCAGAGTCTGGGAAGCCTAACACATCCCATGTCGCCCACTGATCCAAGCAGGCACCTGCTCTGGCAGAGTTTGCCCTTGTGCTTTGGGGTTCACCATGTCTCAGCTGCCCCACAACATGCTGGACACAGTCTGCTTTCAGCAGTTGGATCTTTGACGATGAACCACCAGCTCCAGGTCTGTGTGTGTTCCAAGGAAACTGCTACCACCTCTGGCAGCATTGCCTGACCTGTTTGGGATGCGTGGGGTTGCACTTCCTCCTGGTGGTCCCAGCCAAGGGCATTCTTGTCCTGACGATCCCTCTGGACCCCAAACTTCCCACCAAAGCCCACGGAATAGTCTTCAGCCACAGGGATCCAGATCATGGCATGGGAGAGAACAGACAAGGGAAGGAAGGAGACAAGCGGCAACAGTGTGAGCTAAGGCTGTTCTCACAGGCTTTCCTTGCCTAGGACTTGGAGAAAGACATGGAGCAAAGCCAGATTTACCCACTGATAGCTGCAGCAACAGCCTTCCCTCCTCCCTGGGACATGTCACCTGCTGTTAGCATCTGCCTGGGCTTCCCCTGCACCCATCCTTTGGTGACCTGCTGACCAGGAGATCCCTGTGCCCACAGAACTCTGCTGCTCCTCTTCATTTAGCCTGAACTCTTTCCAGCAGCCACACACCATGCAATGGCTTTCCTCACCTGACCTGTTCCCTTGCTGCAAGCAGTGGGCACCCAACAGATCCCTGTGGCTCTTCCACCATCCATGCAGCAGGTGGCAAAAGCCCTGCACAGTGCCCCACAGCCCCAGTGGGCACAGTCCCCAGCTCCAGTCCTGACACTGCCTGCTCCCCCAGCTCCTTCAGTTTCCCTGGCTCCCCCAGTTTCCCCAGCTCACCTTTCTGCGAATCGTGCTTCTCTGCCTCGGCCTTGTAGTCAAATCCCACAGCTGCTTTGTCCACTTTGTCCCTCTCCACTCCATAACGGCCACCAAAGCCCTTGGAGTAATCTGAGGTGGTGCATGGAATGAAATGCTGCCCCCAGCATGGGGCTGGTGAGGAGAGGATGGGGAGCAGCACTGGGAAGGAGCACCAGGGACGGAATGCAGCAGGGATGATGGCAAACACCATAAAAAGCAAGGGGTCAGAGGGGACAGAGTGGATGGCAGGGAGCCCCATGAAATGGGCATCATCCCCTGCAGGGATGATTCATCACAGCCTGATGAATTTCTGTGTCTACAAGAATGTGTTAGTCTAGCCCAACTGCATGTGATTCTTTAAATCTAACCAAGAATGCCTTAAACCATCTTCCTTCTTTTATAGTTTCATTTTAATGAACCTGATTCAGTTCTTTCCTTGGCAATACAGCATTCCTCACATTTACCTGAAACAGCAACAGACCTTGCCCTCTCATCTCCTCTTGGGTGCAGAACAGTTAAAATATCTTTAGTCTCAGTTCCTGCACTGTTTGTGGAATAATCTCCGGGATTCTGCAGAAGTTTGGGTGCTCTATAGGCTTTTGTTCCCATATGCATTGCTGTACCTTTTCCTGCAAGCTGCTTTTCCAGCAACCACTTCTTGTATCCTACAGTGCTCAGGCTCCCTCTGGAGCAGTTCTCAGAAGGGCTTTGAGAGGAAGGGGAGTACCACACATCCATCAGGAGCTTGGGGGTGTCTTCTCTGCTCAGCCAGGATGTGGTTTCCAGCAAAGCAAAGCACAGAGGCAAGTGGGATGTACAGCAGAAGGGTGGTGACAAGGACAGCAGGGAATGGGGCCACGAGGGTGACAGACTGGGAACAGGAATCTGAAACAAGCGATAGGAGGGGGATAGTGAAGGAGGCTGTGCCACAGCCAACAGCATGGGATACTGGAAGTAGGAGAGAAGCTGGGCAAAGTGTCAACAGGCCACACGTGCCCATGGACTTGCCTTTCTGGGACGAGTGTTTCTCCACCTCACCCTTGTATTCAAAGCCCACTGCTGACTGGAACAAGAATGGGAGGATTGTCAGTCATCCTGAGGATCAAGCCAGGATGTCAGCCACCCTCCTCTAGGGCCAGGCTGGGTCACTGCACTGTGTCTTGTGCTGCAGGGCACGGGTCAGGCTGCTCCTTGGCGTGTCCAGGGCTCTCAGCCCCTCACACCTGCCCCTCCCCATGCCCAGGAACAGCTCTTACAAGAGCACATGCATGCCAGGAAAGAGGACCACAACCCTGACCCCACACTCCGCCACGGCAGCAGGCAGAGAGGCTGTGCAGCATGGGACCACAACCCTGACCCCACACTCCACCATGGCAGCAGGCAGAGAGGCTGTGCAGCATCTGCCACCAGGACATGCACAGGAAGAACAGCACCTCACTGTCCCCATCCAGTCCTGCCACAGCACAGTTTGAGTGTCTGGGGACATGAGACACATGCCCCAGGACACACAGCACAGCCCCCAGGACACACACTGCACTGCCTGGATGGGACAGGGCCAGCACAGCACATCAGTACACACCAGAGCTACCTCCTCAAGGGCTCTGCAGTGTGTCACTGGCCATTGTCCTGCAGACAGGTGAGACCACGGCAGGTGGCACACCTCCACCTGCACCCCCTGAGCCACAATCTGCCATGCAGCAGTGCTTTAGGGGCAGCACAGCTGCTCTGTCCAACATACCTTGTCAGCTCTGTCTCGCTGGACTCCAAACTTCCCCCCAAAGCCTTGGGCTGCATCTGTCTGAGAGGAGTGCTTCCCAACATCAGCTACATACTCATGTCCCACTGCACACTGAGGAGAGATGTGACATGAGCTCCCCTCAGGAGAAGGGCCAGAGGCTGAATGGTTGCAGCATTCTGGTAAAACAGCACAAAGACCAAGAAGATCTTGACACAAACACCCTCACTGCTCCTGCAGCTGCTCTGTGTTGGCCTCATGGAAAGGTCCATTTCTCCCCCTGTCATCCTGCACACCCACAGAGACCCCAGCTACTGAATACTGCTGCAATCTAAACATCTCCCTTCTGAAAAAGAAGTATTAAATGCTGAAAAGTATAGGAAGAAGTGTGATGATGATGACGATGATTATCATAAAACATAAACCAGATCTGGTGTGAGAACAGAGAATACAAACTAGGGCTTCACCCTGAGGAGATACAAGGTCTGTAATGCAGAATATGAGGAGGGAACTATTAGTGATTAATTCTCCAAGCACAGGTAGGGAGGCACCTGATTTAATGGTTAGGCAACAGGTTTGAACAGCCACAAAGTCCTTCACAGATAAGGGGAGCATTGCAAGAAAGTTGTAGAGATGAGTTACACAAATGGATTCTGGAAACAGATAGGTGTGAACCTGTGCAGCCATGCCAGCTCTCCATTCTCTCTCTTCAAGGTCAGGCCAGAAAACTGGGATGCTCCATCCTTTATGAGAAAAACACTTCCCCACTGAGGCTCTAGGCAGCCCTCAACAGCTATTACCTTATCCATTCGGTCCTGCTGTGTTCCAAATTTGCCCCCATAGCCATAGGAGGCCTTGGGGCTAGTCTCCAGCTCCCTCTTCTTGATGACCTCATGTTCCTCTGACACCTTGTTCTTCAGCTGATGGATGCTGGGGAGACAGAGACAAAGCAGGTCAGTGTGGGATTGTGCAGAGCTGTGCAGCCAGACGGAGCATCCCTGCACCAGCCAGAGCTCGGCACAGAGCAGGACATACACCCACTGCCAGTGTGTGCGAGGCAACACTTGGGAGCTCACACCTTCCTTCCTGTGCCGCATTGGCCACGCTGCAGGGCAGGGCTGGGCTGTCCCGAGGGTCACACTGTGCAGGGCAGGGCTGAGCTAGCCGAGGGAGGTGCTGCCGTGGGTGAGCAACAGTCCTCCCTCGGCGCACGGCTCGATTCTCCCCCCCAA